GGAAGAACATTGAAACATGCTGTAAGGCAATTTCTGGGGAGGGGAAAAAAAACAACAAACAATACTTATTTAAGAGACTATTTATTTTCCACATGTTAGATAAGATCCGACGACGCTAGAAGGAAGCCTGCGGGAATTCAGACTGAAAGTCAGCAAAATCACTTTAAAAGGAAATCAGATAAAAACACAGTTATAGGGTGTTTGCATTTTTAACCTGAGTACTCAAATCCACAGAGAAAAGAGAGAAAAAGCACTGCCTTCAAAAAACTCAGCTTACTGAGTTTGCATTCTATCTGTACTAGACCTACATTTCCAAGTTGCAATCCAACACTCACAGTGAAGGTTTCCCACACTACATTAGATCACAAAATGTTTCTGCTATACCTGCCAAGGGGCTAACTTTTACACCTTTTTAACATGCACTCACGTTGCCATTACTGCATGTAAACTAAACCATTCTGTCTTATTGTGTGTTATTCTGTCCTCTTCTGTGCAGGCAAAGGTATTTTGCCAGCTATCAAGAACCAACACACATTTTGGGGGATGGTGGGGGGAAGGTCACCCTTCTGTTTACTAAATTCTCCCACAGCTGGGAATACAACTGGTTTATTCATGAACCAATTTGAGGGCAATTCTCCATGAGAAGTGGTGACAGCAGGGGAAGAAAGGGAATAATGCCAGCAAGGATTTTCTCTAACATGGTTTATCTTGGCACAGAAACACAGCAAAAAGGTAGGGATGCACTGATCTTTCCGCACTGTATCTTCTCTCTCCAAAAACAGGCTAGGAAAGTGTATGATAAATATCAGCTCACTGCTCCAGTATTTAAGAAATGACAAACTAGTGGTGTCTCCAAAGACCACAGGCAATGACTTGATTGCTACTGACTTCCCAGCAAATTGCTGAAAAAACCAGTCTTGATGTAAGTGCTCAAAATTAACACAGAAGTCACTGTGTCTCCTTGAGGCTTTAAAGTGCTTGCTCAGCATTAGCCAGACAAACTGCATCCTTCAAGAGTTACTCATAATTTACAGCTCCTCCACAGCTTATCATAAACATCCGGGAAATGTTCTTTGCACTCTGAAGCTGAGGACACATGAATGTTACAAAAAGGGAGAGCAAAGAGACAAGTGAAAAGGAAGTAGCAAGTTCCTGCTTCAGTAGGCTCTGCTTTTATGAAAACAAGCTTTGCATTTTGCAAAGAGTCAGTTTCCCCATGAACTACATCTGTGGAGTGGTTTTCATCACTAAGAGGAAGTTTTTTTCAGTCTATAAGACAAATATTTAACAATTTCCAATGGCTGAAGTTGGACAAATTCAAAGAAGAAGCCTTTAATAGTGAAGAAAACCGATCACTGGGATATAATTTTAAGGGATGCAGTGATTTTCCAGTATTTGGGGGAAGAGGGTTTATGACTTATTCAACACTTGAAAAAGTACTTAACCTAGCTCAAACAATTAGTTCTAGGAAGTCTCACAACCCAGTGATAGTGTGAGCTAGACAAGATGACCACAATTGTTCCTGTTGATTTGAAAAACCTCAGAACCGTGATTCAGAAGACTAGTTGTTACAGCAGAACACAGAGCAGACAAACTTAACTCACTCTAGTAGACAAAGATTTCCAAACACCACCCCTCTCCATTTATTACAAACTGTGAAAATGTAGATGCTGTTCTCACCAACCCTCCTCCCCCAGGCTCTGCTCATGTAGATCTTGACCCTCACCACTCCACTGTAAAATAAGGCCAATGGTATCTTGGGGTGCATTAAGAAGAGTGTCTCCAGCAGGTCGAGGGAGGTTCTCTCCCTCTCTACTCTGCCCTAGTGAGACCCCACCTGGAGTATCATGTCCAGTTCTGGGCTCCCCAGTTCAAGAGGTTCAGAGATTTACTTGAGGGAGTCCAACAGAGGCTACGAGGATGGTTAAGGTACTGAAACACCTGTCTTATGAGGAGAGGCTGAGAGACCTGGGGCTGTTTGGTCTAGAGAAGACTAAGAGAAGACTAAGAGGGGATCTTATTAATGTATAAAAATATCTAAAGGGTGAGTGTCAAGAAGGAGGGGCCCATCTCTTTTCAGTCATGGCCTGAGATAGGACAAGGGGCAATGGATTCAAATTTGAGCACAAGAAGTTCCACCTCAACATGAGGAAAAACTTCTTTGCTGTGAGCGTGACAGAGCCCTGGGACAGGCTGCAAGTCTGGAGACTTTCAAAACCCATCCAGATGGGTTTCTGTTTGACCTGCCCCAGATTCTGTGGTGGTCCTGCCCTGGCAGGGGGGGTGGACTCGATCTCCAGAGGCCCCTTCCAACCCCTGCCATTCTATGATTCTGTAAAATAATTTAAATCATTAGATTTGACAGTCGCAGCATGATTCATGCACAGAGCTGGAGAAACATTATCCTAAATAATCAAATGCACAGTATGATAATTTAGAAGGTTGTTCTCCCCTCCCCCTGCCATGCCTCAGCGTAAATCCTTGCCAGCATTAATGGAAGATACACACACACACTGAAGTGAAACTGTAGTGCAGTTTTGCAACTCCTCACTTACCAGTGTAGTTTACAGAATAGCTGTTTGGGTCCAAGAATTTTTTTACCAGTTCACAGTTGGACAGTAGGTGATGGGTAGTAATTACATCCAGATAGGCCTGGAGTCCCTTCTGTCTTTCCGCTATGAATTCACGCTCCATATTTCCAATCAATTTCTTTGGAGGAAGAGGTAGACTTAGAGTGGAGATCTTAAAAAGAGAGGAAAAATTACTAGCCTTGATCTCAAAATGCCTCAGGGATATAAACTAGCAATCCAGAAACAAGAGATTCTCAGCCACAAGCTAACTACTGGGTAACTCTTTCTGCACGGTGTATAATCAAGCTTTTATGCTTTTCTAAGAACTATTATCAGGGTGAGCTAGTCAGACAACAGCTGCATCCCACTGTGAAGACGTAAGTGGAACTACACTGAGAATGTGAAGAGATGAATTTTTGCTAGTGAGTCATGCATTTAAGATCACACCACAAAACTTGCAGATACCAAATAGCTACAATTTTTGGCCAAGCCCTTTCTATGACAAACCACAGCACAAAAGCAATTCACACCTTACCATTTTCTCCAGATAGGATTTATGGTTTCTTTTTCCATGAAGGGCAGATTAATAACTTTCCTTTGCCTCTATTGCCTTTATAGGTAATTTAGAGCCCTTACTGTGTCAGTATTCTAAATCTGTAACATTGAACATGGTGCAACTTTCCCATTTGCTCTTCTGAATTTGTTGCACAAGTTTTAAACAGCTTTCAACCCAGAAAGAGCTCCAATCTACCAGTGGACGTGCAGTAGTTGTTTTATGTTGACATAAGGGATTCAAAACTTCAGATAAAATCAGAGAAATATGTTGAAATAGGACAATGAAAAAGTGCACAGAAATTCAAAGCCTTATATAAGGCAGATCAAAAGGATCATCTTTAGAAAATAAAACTGGATTGCACACCATGTTTACGTTCAATTACATGATGTGAACTGCCAGAATAAATTTTTCATCTTGTTAACACATTGTTGTCCTGCAGATCAAAGCACCTGCCTTAAGCATGCTGAATCTCCATGGGAGTTATCTTTAAGAAATGTGTACTGCAGGAATCAGTTACACCAGATGCAATAACCTCATTTCTAAAGCAAACAGCTCAGCAGGA